GAAGAGCTTCTATTCTCTAAAGCTATGGACTTTCAATTATACTGTATATGATGCAATAGAGAAATTATAATATTGTTTCACCTGGGATGAATCTATAGCCGGACGTGGTGGAAATGAAATGGCTTCATGCCTTCTGAAATACATTAATTTAAATGTAAAAGAATCAGTAGAAAGGATTGTTATCTGGAGTGACAACTGTCCATCACAAAATAGAAATATTCAGATGATTATATGCTATCTTTCGATTCTTAAGCTGAAACCGTCCATAAAATGCATTGAGCATAAGTACCTTTTAAAAGGACATACTCACATGGAGGTGGATACAATTCATGCACGAATAGAAAGACAGAAGAAGGCTCCCAGTCAATTTTCGTTAATAACTCCGTGGGATTGGCAACAGCTTTTCAGACTTTCTGACAATAAATTGGAGGTAGCGGAAATGGAAACCATGGACTTTAAGAACTTTACTCAGTTATCTGAAGAATCCAGATCTTATTTTCAAAATAACAAAAAAACGATAACTAATCAAAACTTTTTAATATCTAAAGTTGTTCATATGAAGTTTTTAGCAGAAACACCTGGAGTTTTACATTTTAAAACAAATTTTAATCCAGAGAATTTTGAACAAGTTGATTTCAATAGAGCAGCCAAAAGACTACCACGCAAAGGAAAATGTAATGATAATTCTAAGGAAGTTGTTCTCCATGCCAATTTAACTTTGAAACCAATAAGAGACACACTTAAGCCCATTTCGACTAAAAAATATAATGACTTGCAGAACTTATTACAATGGGTGCCTAAAAGATTCCATGAATACTTTAAAAATCTTCCACATGGTAACCTCAAGAAGGACGACTAAAAATTACAATGATATTTGTTATGAATTTTCTGTTTTAAGTTAGTTATAATTATTCCTTTGTAACATTTAGGTCTGATTTCATTTATTTTAAAAAATAAATATTTTTGGTGTCTTTTTGCGTTTTATTATTTAATTGGAATTGATATAATGCTTTTTGTACTTTGCATTGTTCTCCTGTAAGTTTCTTAATTAATAATAGTATCTAGTCCATCGTATCTACAGATTAGTACGAGCCAAACAGTATTAAGTAACAAAATATGGTATTAAGTCACAAGATATTAAGTCCATTATTAGAACCAAAGAGTATTAAGTCCCAATATTAATTTAAAATTATTTAAATAAATTAAAGTAAGAGGTTAGTTATTATCAGCTTTGTTTAACTTTAAAAAACATAACTGGGAAAATAATAATCCGTGTACTCCTATTTACAATAGGAATTCGTTCGAAAAATATCATTTTTCAAAATCTTCAAATTGCTCTCCTGTAAAATTTAAAATACAGGACTTAATACCGTTTGGCTCTGAGGTCCAGATATATATATATATATATATATATATATATATATATATATATATATATATATATATATGTATATATATATATATATATATATATATATATATATAAACTTTCAAATATCTTTGTTTGCATTTACGAATTTATTGTAAGAATATAAATAATTTATTAAAAGTGTTACAAACTAGAACATATTCATTTAAATCACTTTAGGTGCTATTATATAATCCGTAATCTACGCTAAAGATGATAAGAGTAATAACTTACAACACCATCTGTTGCAAACATAAAATATCAAAAAATCATTGCAAATTATAAAAACTCGTTAAAAAAAAACACTCTTTGTTACGAACTTTATTCCAAGATAGTTATAGGGTACGTTACGACCAAGTGAATGGAAATAAGTCACAACTATGAATAAAGAATGATTTTGTGATACAAATATCTAGAACTGACTACATAATTTCTGTTATTTATGTACTAAACGGAGCCAACTGAGAAAACAAAAAATATTTTTTTATGTATTTTATTTTAAAACTTAAAACAGTTAATGATCGGCCTCAGTTAGACAGACACTCCCAAACTTTACCATCTAGTTTTAGCAGGTAATGTTTACTAAAGTCGCAGACGAAACGTCAGGAAAAGATAAGCTTCAGACTACCATCTACAAGCCCGGAAAATAATGTATCAATTTATTTTCGGGGAAAGGATACCGAATATTAACTTCACCTGGTTCGCAATCTCATACAAATGATTCGTAACTAATATTTAAAAAGGATGAAGATACGGGGGTGAGTACGTTCTTGGGGCAAAACCTTCATTATTTTTAAATCATCAGTTTAAGGATCCATTCCAAGTTTTTTACAGACTGAAAGGAAGTTCGACAGGGTTTCATACTGTCATCAACACTATTTAACATATTAATACTCTAAATTTAGAGAAGCCTTGGATGAATAAGAAGTTGGTATTACAGTAAAAGGCCAACTTATAAACAATATTAGATATGCAGATGATACCGTATTGCTATCAGATAGTGGACAGGGACTTCAAAGAACGATGTATGTTATAGAAATATGTTGCAAATACAGCCTATAACTAAATTTTAAGAAGACAAAAATAATGATCATGAGTAAGAACAACAAAATAAACGCTCAAATTATATAAGCGATACACCGTTAGAAAGAGTCGAGAAAATATGCTACCTGGCTGCTTAGGGATACCTGGGATCATAGCTACGAAATAAAAACTCGTATTAAAAAAGCGAGAAACTCTTTTAAAGGTCTTAGAAAATTCTCTGTAACTTATCTTTAAGTATCAGTATACGCATAAGAAATCTTAGATGTTACATCCCTAGTGTCCTCTTCTACGGAGTAGAAAGCTTGTCTTACAGAAGATGACATAAATTGGTTAGAGGTATTTAAAATCTGGTGCTACCGACGTATGTTAAGGGTCTTATATTTAGGTACACCACATAAATAACATAACTATTCTCCAGATGCTAAAAAAATAAATTATTAATACCGAAAAGAAGCTTACTTCGGCCACTTCTTCATCTTTTACTGCCGACGCTATGAAAGGTTGGCTATAACCATTGCAAATTCCTAGGATAGATATAAATTTAGCCATTGCCCCGATATACGCCGAGAATTATAACGAGATGAGAGACACAAAATATTTTACATAAGGAAGAACTACGCTTTAAATTTTTAGATAGAAAAAAAAATGAAAAAGAAAAATAATGTTTAAACATACGGGATAATGATGAAATTTGTAATGAACAAGTTTCTTAGAATCCAAATTATATCAGGCCAAAATTTCAACTATTTTTTTATAAAGACATTAGCATCAAATTGAAAGTAGAGATGAATTACCAAATTTTGGTTCCGCTCGTACTACTACCACAACTTACTTTTGCTCATAAATTTTTGTTTTGCTCCCTATAATTTTGTTGTTGTCTGCAAATGCCTTATATATTCCATAATACGAGTTTCTAATTTTAAATTTGCTTAAGGTATTCACTGACCGGTAAAAAGTGGCCACCCTATAAATTTCCGAAAATAAAAATTTATTGAAGGTTTTATGCACTGTTTCATGTGGTATACTTAACATCGTTCATTTTGAAAACAACAAATGGCCATTCCTTAGCATAATTTATTTAATTAGAAGGCTATAAAAGAAAATAGTGTAATATCGAAATGAATTACAAACAATAAAAATTACGAGTGAACTTGGACAAAATTGACATAATATCGGGTATTATGCACTAAAACATCAATAACCGTAATAACCGTTTGCATACAATTTGGAAGGGAAAGGAACAAATTTTGAATAAAAACTTGAAAAATACGTTCATATTCTTCACGAAGCATGTTTTGAAGTTCTGCAAGACTTTCTGGCTGGCCTGGTTGACTTTTAACCCTACGATGAACTTTATGCCAAATAGGTTCGATGATATTCGGATCAGAGCTACAAACTGTCCATTCTAGAGTATTAATTCTTACTTGCTCCAAGTAATTTGCCACGATCCTTGCAGTATGTAGCCGTGCGTTATCATGCATAAAGACGAAATTATCCCAATAAATGGACCAAATGGAATTAATGCTTCTGCCAATACATCCTCCATATATCGGTGAGCATTCAGCGGGCCATTGATGAAAATAAGTTCAGTTTGAGCTTCAAATTAAATTCCAGCCCAAACCATGACACCACCACTGCCAATCTTTCTTCCCTGAGACATACAAGCTTGGGCATATCTTTCATTTTTCCATCTTCAAACCCTCTCTCGGCTATCGTTAGACTTCAAACAGAACCGCGATTCATTATTAAAGAAAATTCGGCTCCAATCCTGTATATCCCAGTGTTAATGTTCTTGAGAAAAAATATCTATTCCTACAGTGTCTGGGTTGTAATTCGAGAAAAATAGCCGACTTTCTTGCTACTAGTCCTCTTTCATCGAGGCGATTTCTAAGCGTTCTCTCACTTACATTCACATTTCGGACCTCTTGCAGACGTTTTCTTGTAGCAATTGCTATGAAATGGCAATTTCTTAAAAGTTCCATCACAATACAACGATCATCTCTTTGCGAGGTAACTTTTCTAGGACCAGAACCAGGTCAACGTGAGTATTTACCAGTCTCTATAAAGCGATGGAAAGCTCTCCGTGCTATAGCTTTTAAAATACCTAAAGCTTCGGATACATAAACTTGACTTCTTTCTTCTTGTAGCAATGCAATAATTCCAGCAACATCTACTGTAGATAATACCATATTTTAATTACTCACTTAGTCGCAATCTACGTTTAAAAAGCTAAATTACTGTTTAATTAAATGTTTTCAACTTAGAGAATAAACAGCGACTATAGAAAACAACATAAATGTCAAAACTGTCAAAAACAAGTATATATATGATCGCAATAAATATTTAAATTGAGACGCAATATGAAACAGTGTATAAAACTTTTATTCTCGGAAATTTATAAGGTGGCCACTTTTTTTGCCGTTCAGTGTATTTCTAATATGGTCAACTGATTTTGCTATAATTGTTTCATTGATCTTCGCGTACCCTGTATATATCTGGAGAATATATACATATGTGCATACTATTTTAATTTTTAGATAATACTAGTTTAAGCTCCTATCATTTTCTTAACAGTGTAACCAGGTATTGAATAGAAGAATAACAATATAATTAATGCTACTGCTATTATTATAAACAATTTGAGAATAGTCCATTTGTAGTTGTGCCAAATAATGTATCGAATTGATTTTAACGGATTCATAAACCACATGAAAGATGAATCTGGACGACTGAAAATAAAATTTATAATTAATATAAAATTTATACAACTTGGATGTACGTAAAATCTATCATTCAAGCAGGTATAAAAAAAACCAATGCTCTCTTTTGAAAACTGCATATTAAAATAAAATACATGTTCATTGAAATAAAAGATAACTACACATGCACATATTATATTGAAAGTTTTATTTATTGTATTAAAAACACGGTTTATATTTTATAGCATATAATAAAATATTGGTAATCCGTGTGGATGTTGTCTGTCGCCCATCGGACGCGTCCCCAGATGGTGGATAGGGGAACGCTCTAACCAGTCCTAGGACCTGGTAGGTGAGAAATAAAATACCACCCGTGAACCAAAACAGACTGGTATGGCAACCCAACAGAGTCCTTGGCCCTCCAGGTTGGGGGTTAGGGTAGAGGGTAACAACCTCTTCCTGTAAAAATCATATGTTACGGAAACTCAAGAACTATTAGCCGGACGGAACTTACGACGACAACTCTACAAACGAAAAATGGAATTAAGATTAGGAACGTGGAACACCCGAACCCTGTACCGAGCTGGAGCACTCGCATCTCTACTGGACATAGTGAACATTTACACAGTAGATGTTTTGGCACTGCAGGAAATACGATGGAGGGGAACAGGAATTCTTAACAAGAGAACCCACTCCATATATTATAGCTGCAATGAAAACCAAGACATAAATGGAGTGGGATTTATAGTAAACCAAAGAAAAAAAGGCCTAGTTATTGATTTTAAAGCCAACAGTCAAAGAATGTGCTATTTATGCTTAAAAAGTAAATTCTTTAATTACAGTTTAATTAATGCACATGCCCCTACCGACGACTAACTAGAAGACATTAAAGAACAGTTTTTCAAAGACCTAGAACAAGCCTATAGAAGATGCCCTAGAAATGACATCAACATAGTTCTAGGTGACATGAATACAAGAATAGGACGAGAGCGAGTTTTTATGCCGACTATAGGCAGGTATAGCCTACACAACATCAGTAGCGATAATGAATTACGACTGATAAACTTAGCAGCAGCACTGAACATGACCGTCGCTAGCACCTATTTTGAACATAAGAATATACACAAAGTAACATGGACCTCCCCTGATGAAAGAACAACTAGTCAGATTGATCACATCCTAATAGATTCAAGACACGGAACGGACATAATGAACTGCAGAAGTTATAGAGGCGCAAACATATACTCAGACCACTGTTTAGAGATCTCAACACTAAGGGCTAGAATTTCAAATTGAAACAAAGAAAAAAAATAGATACAAAGAAATGGAATGTACAGAAGCTGAGAGATGCACCTGCTGCAAAACATTACTGGAAAAATATTACCAATAGGTTAAGAAATCAAAGTCCAAGCGAAGAAGAGCAGAGAGATATAGACTCCTACTGGAACACGATAAAGGAAGATATTGAGTCAGCAGCACAAGATGAAATAGGAACAGAAACTTGTACCCGAAAAAATCACTGGTTTGACGATGAATGCAAAGACGCAACACAGAAAAAAAATGAAGTTTATGCAGAAATGCTCACCCGCCGAACTAGAACAAGTGCAGAGAATTACAAGACAAAGAGAAGAGAAGAAAAGAAAATACACAGAATGAAGAAACGAAACCACTTAAAAAAGGAACTTCAATATATAGAAAACCTCAACAGAAAGAAAGAATTCAGAACATTCTATAAGAAAGTTAACATCAACAGAAAATAATTCAAGGCAAACACAAATCAATGTAGAAGTTTGAATGGCGATCTAATAACAACAAGAACAGACGTACTAAATCGATGGACGGAATATTTTAACCATATACGGAAAAGACGAAAAGAAACCCGGAAGACGAAAGCTGTCAGGTAAGCGGAGCAGACGAGAGGGAGGAGAACACACCAACGATCCTGGAAGTTAAAGACGCTGTAAACAAATTAGCCAGAAACAAATCACCCGGAATAGATAATCTCCCAGCGGAATTATATAAAGAAGGTGGCCACGATATCATAATAGCACTACAGCAGCTTATAAAAGAAATATGGATACAGAAGTCCCTTTCCAGTGATTGGAATATTGGAGTACTTTGCACCATACAATATACTATGCCATCGTATGGCACCGTATACAGAGCGAATAATAGGACAATACAACTCTTTCTCTCTTCAATAGCGCTACAGCCCAAATCAAGCATTGACCTCCTAGAAACTATGCCTTCAACCTTGCCGGTCCCACGCTGACCTTCTATAGGTTCTCAAGTCTATCAAATTTTGCGTGTCCGTTGCCACTTCATCCCTCCGTTCGGCTCGCAGAGATAAGAATACGGCCGAGGCCAGAAGACCCTGCCTGTCGTAAGAGGCGACTAATGGACGAGAAATGAGAGGTGGAGAACCGTCGCGCGTCGTTCGAGGTGTCGGGTTTGTGGAAACGCACTCGAGATGGCCATCTCGGTCACCGGTTCAAACTCCTAGTATCCGAGACAAGCATCTCGTGGGACCACTCTACTCTCATTTCCACAAGAGCCAACTGAGGTTGAACGAGCTGAGACCGTAAATACCTTTCACGGCCTTACATCACCGGGTGGTGTGGTGACCTGGCACGTACCCATCTGGAATAATGATTTAAAAGTGGTAGAGGAGAGATTCTAAGGCGGTGACCTGTCTACGTGCGAGTTCCGCCCCGGGGGTGGGGGGAAGATTTGGGGTGGAGTTCCGGACGGGTGACGTATCCGCAACACAGGTACTACAGGTAAGGTGGAGCCCCACGATACTTCGGTATCGTGCCACCTTAGTAGGTGTCGGACTCGTAGGGGCAGTGGGTCCGTTAAAGGTCGTATGCCGAAAGTCCAGGAAGACCAGGGTCCTGCCAATTTTATATTGGAGGGCACAAAGCTATACAATGCCACTTCATCTTTCCACTTTTTCCGTGGTCTTCCTTTTGGTTTTGCGTCCTGCATTTTACTATATAGGGCTCTTTTTGTCAATCTTACAGTCTGTATTCTCACTACATGATAAGCCCATCGAAGTCTCTGAAGTTTAACGAATTCTGAGATTGGTGCCTCTTTGAGCAGTTGGTAAAGTTCTAGATATGTGAAACTTTCTACAGTTTCGATATCGTCCTCCTATTTCAACTGTGCCACTGTTTCCCGTAGGTCTTGCCTGTGTTAGTTTTTTTTTCTTTTAGATTTTTATTTTTAGTCCGGTCTCTTCTGACCCTGTTTTTAATTGTAAACGACTGTTTACAATTTCTGCCGACTCTTACAGTTGCTGATAGCTATGAAATTAATGATGTGCGTTTGGCGAAGAAGTATTTATTATTGCGCTCCAAAAATGTATGTACAGATCAAGTTTTCTTACAATATGATAAAGGAAAGTGTACCAATCAAGTAGTTGGTATTAATACATTTGGATTATCTCCCTTGCAAATTGCACGTTATCTAAAATTGGCCGATCCTGGGAAATACACGGGAAATGTGTTTCGACGTACGTCGAAATCCAACGACAAGTAGGATGCAAATCGGCAGCTACGGCAACTGGTTACGTTGAAGAGATTATTCCCAATAAGAAGAATGTTTCAAACATTATTGGGAGTGCCATTAATGGAAGTACAACCCCATTGGCTTCCGCGAATCTCGGTAGTATTAATTTAAACAGCATTTAGTCTGATTTAAAAAACTGAAGTATAAATATTTCAAGCAATACCAACTGTACTTTTCACATTCATTTAAAATTTTAAGATTTTCAAATATATGAGTAAAGCTTTTGAAACATTTATTAGTAATATATTATTTATTTTACGTTACAAGGTATGAACCCATGTCAGTTCAGATGAATATTTAAAACTGTTGATGTTGTCATGATAACTTTAAAACACGTGCGTTTTTGAAAATTGAATTGAAATACGCTGACGCGTTCTTTAAGTAAGCAAAATGGGGTACCAATGAAAAAAATATATTTTCTAAATTTAAAAATATTTATAAACATATCAAATATTAATAATTATTTACTTAATACTCATGCTGTTTTATATCAAATATCTACTTACTTAGGTTTCTCTAATGGATCAGGTTCATTCCTTCCATAACCAGCTGGCGCTTTTTCTGCTTCATCTTTACTTAACAAATGAAATTCAGCTTCAACTTTTCCCGTCAATTCCATCTCTTCATTGTCCTTTTTAACAAAAAATGGCCACCAACCTTTCACTCGTTTTTGTTTAAAAATGCTGACCATAGGAACAGATCCATCGGATTTTAGCATATCCAATGTACAGAGTTTAGAAGACTTTGCGCCACGAGGAAACCTATTAAGATCTATTGTTATTGCCCCTAAAAAAATAAATGTTTATTTGTTGGTAAGAAATAATTTATATCAAGGAAAAGGAAGTAGTATTAGGAAGAGCGGTAATAATAAATATCACCAAAAACTTTTTTAAAAACGTAAGACATACCTAGAAAATCATCAGCTGAAAAATGATCCGCATCCCATACTTGTAACTCTAGTCTTGCCGGAATTTTACATTCAGTCTCGTCCCAAGAGAAAAGCGATTCCTTCCGTGATATTACAATTTTTTGTTCTGCTACTAGATAGTCAAATGGATAGATAAATCTCCAGTTAAAATTACCCTCGCCAGTTAAAGAACGGTAATGAATATCTGTACATTGGCAGTCTTCTGGGCCCTTTAACCACCTTATAACAAATATATTATATAAGTTAGAGATATAATTGTTTCATTTGTACCCTAGACCAGTGGTTCCCAAAGTGTAAGTAGCGACCCCCTGAGGGGTCCCGTTAAAGAACTGAGGGAGTCGGGAAATGATTTCCAAAAAAAAAAAAAACAATTTTACGAGAATTTTTAGGGTAAGGTGGTGCAAGTACGTACCCGAGGTAAATGCATTTGAACTAAATAAAAATTTTTGTAACGTGAAGTTTGGTATAAAACCGATTTTAAATTTAGCGTTAGTATTAAATGAAAGAGCTACACATGTGAGTGACAAGATTTTTAAACTCCAGACAAAGCAACACATGTGTTTTTTGGTAGTTACGTTTGAGGTTGTACAAAGAGCAGGTAAGGATTTTTTCTAAGTCTTGTAAATCTCGTATCGCTTACTAGATTTTAATTTGTATTGAATATTTTCGGTTAGTATTGCAGAAATTTAAATTGCTTTAATACTGTATATGGTTTTTCGCAATAGTTTGCTAGTAATTAAAAGGTGGACAACTGAACCAGAAATTTGTTGGATTAGGCAAATGTGTTTTTTTGTGTAGGAGCAAATGCGTCAACGCACTTGTAACGGCATAAAATCGGAATATATCAGTGCCTTCATGAATATAAGAAATCAAAATTTCACTGTCAAGGGAGCATCCGCTTATAAGATATCCCAGTGACAAACATTACGAGATCACTAGAGTAAAAGAATATATACGAAGGAATCAGGACAAGATCTACCGACATTTCATTGGCAGAAGAAAGGCGACCGGCAGTAGGTCTTTGCACGATGGAACAATGGAGATTCGGTTTGTTCCACAAAGAAGTTTTAGAATTACCCCAACAGTTTATCCAATCAAACAACCACAATTTAAAAATAGTAGGCCAGGTGAAGACTGTTCTTTTTAAAAGAAGACGTCGACTGTCTACAAAGAAACCGAAATAATTGGGTTTACTTTTGATAATAAAGATTATTTTAGGCTATTGGGCCAAATCATTCAATATTTGGGGCTTGCTGATAAACATGAGAGAATCTAAAATATAGATGAAACTGTATTTTCCAGTGACCCCTCTAAAACATAGTTGTTGGCAAGCAAGGAGCACCATGCACAGGAACCACCAGGTGGTGATGGCAGCAAGCGATAGTAGCGAAAAAATTCCTCCGTTAATCGTTTTAAAAGGCAAAAATATCTGGAATTAATGGATGGCCGACGAAAATGATGCCTTCTCTAATACTTCCCATGTTCTTCCTAAAAATGGCTGGATTGAAGCTATTGTATTTCGCAATTATTTCAAAAACCTTTGTAACGATTTGTATCGGCTCGATATAAGACGACGATATAGACGACATTAAAATGGTATTGCCAATATTGTTGAGTTAAGTTCCTGGACCGATTGTACTTGTAACATATTTCATTCGATTACATGAAATCAACTCTAATTTGAGAATATCCGTCAAAAAAATCATAGCATGTACATCGTCTTTAAAAAGACAACCACATGACATGGTGACAATAAAATTCTGTTAGTGATTCCATGTTAAATTATAAGGGAAACACCAAGAAAAAACCTCATAATACTATCCCGACATGGTAAGTAATTGGTCGTACATTTAGTTTACTTTCAATAAACACCAAATTCTGATTTTATATGTTTTTTATTCAAAATTTGCAATATATTTTTGCGATTTGCGATTTGCGACTTTTGGAATTTGCGATACAATTGGTATTAAAGGATGAGATAAATTTATATTTTTTATTGCGACACAGTTAACCATAAAGAGTGGGATAAATTTATACTTTTAATGACGACTCCGGGGGAGCCAATACTAGGAAACAATTCCGATTTAACAGAAATCGTCCTGAAAGAACTGGTAAAAAAGGGACCTACAACAACAGCACAAGAATAAAAATCAAGTTCTCAAGAAGGGTAAATAGGATCAAGCCGTTGGATCAAGGCTACACGCTGGAAAAAATGTATGCTACATTCTTTTTTTCTCAAAGAGAAGGGGGTGTAAAGACTTGCATCGCCTCGATACCGTCAGCGCTTCGTGTAAACGCCTCCCCATCAGAAGTCCCTCTTTCACCAATGTGTGCTAAAGTAGATGAAGGTACTGGCCTTCGACCGTATAAAAGAGTCGCAAGAGAAACGAGAGTTCCGTCGGAGTATTGATCTGATAACAACTCCACTGGTACTAGGTTATTGACTGAAAGCCAACCGCTTCCACTAGAGTATTGACCTAGTGGCAGTTCCGTACCTGGTCTTGGAGAATTGATCTGAGACATACCTATTCTCTTCTGTATCCACGCTTGCTGGTCGAAGACTTTCCAAAAAAGTTTTTTTTAAGCTGATTGAGAAAATATGGACAACAATTAACCCAAAAATTATCAAAGATAAATTTAAGAAGGGAGGTATCTTTCCATTTGATGATTAAGTTATATTCGAAAATCTTAACGAGGCTTCTTCTTTAAGGCGATATTAGATTCTAGAGGACGTCAGATATCAGCGCCAAAAGACTTCTCTAGATGTGGCAGCTGTTGCCGCCTTTGAGACAAACTCGTGAGTATCGTATTTCAACAATATAGACTTTGTAGGATTTTTCTGAGCTACTTTCATACCTTATAATTCTGTTTTTCAGATTTCCAGTATATTTTGAATATTTCCTACTACAAAACGTAAAACGTGTGACATCAACTCCAAAAAAAAAGCGAATTGCAACAGGCAGTAAAGTGATCGTTGTACAGCAAAGACAGCTTACAAGACTCAAGTGATGAAGACCAGGACGATCAGATCTCGATGTACGATAAGTCTGAAGATAGCGATTTGGTGGGTCATATTTTGTTAGAAGAAAAAGGTGACGAAGGGGAAATTTCTTAAAACTGCGCCTGAATTTTCGGTAGAAGACTGGGTTTTGGTGGCATTCAAAAGCCAAAGTCGGGATAGAAATGACATTTTATATAAAGACCACGCAATTTCTCTCACTGAAAGTATTACTCAGGTAAAGTGGCCAGGAAAAATATAAAGTGCTTTGTGTTTCCTCAGGTGGATGATATATTCCTTGTGGCAAAAGAGAATATCCTTAAAGTATTATCCTCTCTATATGTTAGGAGTGGCATGTACAATTTCAATATTAAGTTTCTACAAGATATACAACATAAATTAAGATAAATTGTAGAATTTTTACCCTTAAATAAAGTACTTTCTCATTTTTTGATAAGTCATTCGACCGTTGTGACCTTATTTTGTTTTCAACATTATGAAAATTTTTAATTTTTTCAGGACTATGTGCAGAACATTCTAGTAAATAAGTGCACTTACCCCGTAATGCAAGCAACAAAATATATAAAACTATACCCAGGAGACACAGTTACATCAAACTGACGGGGCAATTGACATGTAAGGGAGAAAAAAGTAATAATCAAGAAAAGACACAGATTTGGTATCTTTTCTAAATAAAACACAATGTCATAATAGTTGGTCCACGTATTCTCGATTTGGGAGAACTAACCCAATTGAAGCATTGATACAATTAAAAACAAATTTACAAAAAAAGGGGGTGCACTTGCCCCACTAGGAAACCATCTTTCGAACCTGGGCTCTGTATTCGATACACAAACAATGATGTTATTAATTGATAGATTCGACCGTAACTTGATGGAAATTCATTTTATGTAACAATAAAAAACTGAAAACTTTGTTTTCAAACTTCCACAAAATTTACTTTAACTTATCAGGTGATTTCACTTGAGAAAGGCAATCAGCTGAAACAGCTGTAGTGATAAGTTAAAATAAATTTTGTGGACGTTTAAAAACAAAGTTTTCAGTGTTTTATTGTTACAATGATGTTCTTTCCGATTTCTAAGCGATTTCTCATTTTTCTTAATAACAGTAATTTATGAGAAACTCAACTCACATAAATTCTTTCATCCTTCTTTCCGAAAACTGATCCGGGCTTAAGGAAAAAAGTTTAGTTTTAACATTTCATTACTTAATATTTTTTATCATTACAATAATTGTTTGTTTCATTTTGATGGAATGTCAGCTTGTTGAAAATAATTGTCCAAAAAATATTAAGTATACATCTGTACTTGTCATGGCTGGTTTGCATTTATTTTGGGAAATATTCATAGATATGTTATTTAATATTTTCCAAAGTAGCTTCCATATCCGTAAAAACTTTTCAGACTCTATTCAGAATATTCAGGTGTTTGAGCAAATCATTAAGGAAATGTAGCCTGAAAACCAGAGGGAATTTGAAAATAGATCTTTAAATTCCGAATTATCATATTTTAAATACAAAAAATTCTGCTTCTAACTGAAAAACTCTTTTTAAGACTTTATCCCTTGAAAGTCATCTTACTTCCGTGTGGTAAAGAAGATCTACACATAAAGAACATATGATTTCACAAATTTTTTAGAAAATGCGAGTTTGTAACGCTTTTCCTTTGATGAAATTTACAACTTTAATTGACACTTTTAAACCAAAATCCCTTTCGTAAGGTACATACTTTAAGGCCAGAGTTTCTCGATGTAACAAATAATCAATTCGCACTTAATATTACTTCTTGCAATTTTAAAATAAGACCAGATAGATGTTCTTTCATAGCCTTCGGCACATCGGTATATGTACCAATGTATTTCACTCAGTCGATATGGTATTTATAAGTACTTTGTATAAAAGTTTCAAACAAATTGTTTCCAAGAGTATTGGTTTCTGGTAAAGAAAAAAATAAAATATCTTCTGTCATGCCATTTTTTCCGTTGTACCTTATGAATATGATAAACTATACATTCATCCATCTGTAGAGCGAAGTACATATATTTTTTGATGTTTTCAATATTTTGTTGTCGAATATATTCTGCCATGTCAATTATTTTTCTTTGTATAATATATTAAAAAGGGTTTAACTTCGCAGCCTCTTTTTCACCCATCACTATTTCCAAAATTTCAACAGCTGGAGGTAGAACCAAATCTTTAGCA